TAAGTCAAGAGATAACTTCTGTGTGTTGTGCTAGGGACAGCAGTTCCTGAAAATAGGAGGAAGAAGAAAAGAAGAGCAGGTAACCAATGAAAGAGAACTTTATAGCCCATACTAGAACTGAGATTGGTGGTCCTGGTAGTATGGCTATTTCCAGAGAGAGCGAGAGAGAATCACTGCAATCAGGAATTTTGATCTCAACTCTGAATGGGCTATTAGGTCTTTCTCTGTACAAGCTGGTCACTGTGGGTGTATGGATCAGTGACATGGGCCAAAGCTTCTTAGGATACCTTTCTGGGTACACTATTGTGTGTGTGCGCATGCACACGTGCATACATGTATGCATATACTTGCACTCACATATGATGGGAGAACACCCAGGAGTGGTGTGGAAACCTGGGTTGGAGGAAGAGAGGTTGGATAGTCAGAAGAGAGGATGAAAGTGTTGGAATCTGGATGAGAGAAAGGGTGATAGTTTTGGGAAAGGTGTCTGAGGTTTGCTAATCAACCTTTCACTGCTTGGATTTGAAGCCCTCAGAGACTGGCTCAAACTACCTAGTATACATGTAGGAAAGGAAACTTCCTTTTTAAGTATGGCTTTCAGATGTAATTTTAATTTTCATTATTGCATTTTTGTTGGCAGCAGTGCTTGTGGCTGCTCAGAACAGCAATTTCCCTCTTTGCTGCTGCTGTTCCAGGAAGCTTGTTTAGGATATATTTCCTGTCGAAGTTATTCTTAATGACTTTAATACTATAGAAAAATCTGACATTAAGAACATCTTGGCAGGGTTCCATGCCATGCTCAGGAGCAGCAGGGGACAGAGGACAGCTGCCTGCAGAGCCCTGCGATTTCCTGTTTGTTGAGCTCAAGAGAGCAGCTGCCAGCTTTTAGCACCCCGTTGAGTGAGCCTTGATGCCAGACTGCCTTCACTGCTCCTGAGCCAGACCTGCCAGATGCACTTTGCTGTGGTGAGACTATCAGACTCTGGGGACTGCTACCCAGACATGCTGGCAGTTCATATTTAGTGTGTTTCAGCAAAGCTCAGAGAGGCAACCCTTGGTATCAGTAATGGGCATGATACAAAATACTGTCTCACCATAGCCTTCTATTTGCAGTTTGTCTTTGGGCATCTGATGCCGTAGCTGACTAACTTGAGACTTGGATGAAATATTGCCTGTAGGCTGTTTCAAGGGCACTTAGATGCCTGTTTTAAAGGAGAGGCCAGAAGTTCTGTCCTCCAAACCTACCTTTGGGTTGTAAGAACTGAAAAGAAATAGCCAGTAAAAAACAAAAGTCCTTCCTTTTTTGTGGAGGCTACCAAGATGTCTGGGGAGAGAAGGGTTAATATTCTATTCTGCATTTTTCCAGGATCTTGCGGGGGGGGGCTCTGATATTTATGTATTCTATCTCCATTTATTTGCAGAACTTTGCACATCTCTCGATATGGTTGTCCACTTTCAGAACCTTGGCACATGGAACTTTTGTCCCATTGTAGTACAATTTATTTTGTTTTGGTACCGGGGATTGAACTGGGGTCCTTGCACTTGCAAGGCAGGCCACCGAACTGCTGAGCTACATCCCTGGCCCCCATTGTAGTACAATTTGATAATATATCCTAAGTTAGTTTATTTAAATGAAAGATGCAGAAGAAAATATGAAATGAAAAAATCATTGTCTGTATGGTACGAAGGTGGTTGATGTTGCCTGATAGCTGACTCTAACACAAAAAAACTTTATTCACCCATCCCTAGCTGGCCCTGTGAGAGTGGTGCTACAATTGCTTTCTACCTGAGGGAGCAGCAGAACGACCTGCAGGTTCTGTGAATCTTGGTAGCCTCAGGGTTGCAGGTCACTATTGTGTGAGTGCTGGTTTGTGCCTGAGGTGTGCTATTTGTAGGGAGGATGGAAAACATTTCCTGTCTTGATTATCTTTGTTTTGTGTACTTGTCACTACTTTGCTGTTCTACATCAAGCCTAGTGCCTCCTTTTCCCTAGTATAATGTCGATTTCCGACACAAATGATATGCTCACACTAGACTTTAATCTTATTTGCCTTTAAAAAAGGATGATTAATTCAGACTATCTTATTTTCCTTTCAAAAAAACTCATCAACTCAAAAATATGGTAGAGTGCATGAATGTCAGGATATAAATGTTGATCTTATGGCTTTTAAACAATCTACATCAGTACATCTTTGTTATAATTTTATGCACATGGATCAAATAACCACATGGTAAATTTAATAGGAATTGGCTGGTTGAGAAGTTGGTAGCAAGTGTGGCAGAATTAACCTAGGCTTCTCTGTCCCATCCCAGCATGTCATAGCTAATAATAGCAGTGCTGGCTACTATTTGTTCCTTATAACTGAGTCCTTTCATGCAACATTGCATTTCATCTTAGCAGCAACTCTGCTAAGTAGGTATCATTATCTTTATTTTCCTAGTGGAAAAACAAAATTCAGGTAATTTTTTTTAATGGGTATGTAACGGAGGTTGGCAAACTCTTTTTGTAAAAGAGTAGGAAGTAGGTATTTTGTGTGTTTTGGGCCATCCTATCTCTGCTGCAACTATGCATCTTTACTATTACAAAGCTATAGATGCCATAGAAATTATAATGACAAACGGGTGGTTCTGTTGCAATGAAGTCTTTCTTATGGACACTGATATTTAAACTTCATATAGTTTTCAATGTCACTTGATACTATCCTTTTGATTTTTTTTTCAGTATTCGAAATTGAACTCAGGGCCTTTACACTGAGCTACATACCCAGATCTTTTAAAACTTTTTATTTTGAGGCAGAGTCTTGCTAAGTCACGAAATTGCCCAGGCAAGACTCAAATTTGCCGTCCAGCCTCAGCCTCCTAGAGTGCTGGGATTACAGGTGTGAACTACCACCCTCAGCTTTTTCATGTCTAGAAACATAAACATACTTCTCTTGCAGGTTCTACATAACCACAGGTATGATAGTGAATTGTAGTGTCAACTTGTCTGTTCTTTCACTGATTGCTTTCCCTCATTCTTCAACTGCTTCAGAGTAAGTCCCCTTGAACTTTGGTTATGCCATCACTGGGATATATATTTTATGGTTGATTTTGCTGTACCAGGGTGCTTACTTCATTTCCTATTTCTAATTACTTAATAACATACATTCTGATTCTTCCCTTCCCTTTTTATTTCCCTGGGAAGATATAATAAAGACTGATTGATTTTTAAAAAGTGGAAGCAGAAAAACAAGTTAGTAGACTCAAGAAGTGGCCCAGGCAGGTGATGATGGTACTACAATAATATTTTCAGGTCATTATGGTCAGTTTTACAGATGAGGAAAGTTGGGCTGAAATGATAGTCTAAAGTTATAGCAAATGGAAACAGTAATGATGAAGTCCCTGGCCTTCTGATTTTGACTCAGGGTCTTGTTCTATACGGTATGGAGTTCTTAATACTCCCCTTTGGAGATTAGCTTTATCCCATTCTACCCTGTATTTCTGACCTATGCCCTGGAATGCTTCTCTGCCCCTGTCACAGTTCTTCTCTGCTAGGGGAAGTGATTATCAATGAGGATAGTCTTGCTTAAGTTTGCATTGTTAATATTCATTTCCTGAGGAAATTTATTTTATCATCAAGGGAAAGAGCTTCATGTTCAAATAATAAAAAAGCCAAAGATGATACTATGGTAATGGTTTTATATAATTTCTGTGTAGGTGCTGGAAAGGTGCGTGAATGTTTACTGAAAGGTCAGCTTTCCTTATGATTTATTTCCTAATCAGAATTGGCACATTCTTTTCTGCCTTTGGAGGAGTGATTTGTCTGACTAGGCCCCAGGATCACACTCTGGTTTCTGACACTGGCAAGCATCTCTGGATCTGAGCACCTATCCTTTGAACGATGTATGCTGAGGGCTTGGAATATCTTTCTATGGGGCCCAGGTCTGAGAACAGGGAAGAGGGATGGGGCGTAGGAGAGACTCATGATTGGGGCAGAAGGATGGTGATGTTTTTGCCTTAGCTGTCCTGGGAGTTAGGCCCTACAGCAGTTGTGGATGACTCTGACCCACAGTGACAAGGGGAGAACTGGAACTTCAGAAAGCTCTTGAGGAAGGAGTGCAGCAGTGGTGACTACTTGGCTAATCTTAGTTTTGGCTGGTGTTTTACTTAGATTTCTCCTTATATTACTGCTATGTGTCTACTTGTCTGTTTCCTCATTACAAAGGAAGGTCTGTGATATCTTGGCCAGTGTTTCAGGTGTCTCTGCCCACCCCGCAGGGGGCAGTCTTGTACACAGTAGCTACACAGTAATTGGATACGGGTTGTGTCGACTTACCTCTGGGAATCCTGGCTGCCCAGTGCAGTGTCTTCCAAAGAGTCAGAATTTTGTAGTCCCTAATAATCATCATTAACAAAGATTATACTTGGGAAATCCTGCATATATGACAAGTTTAAGGGGTAAGCAGTGGGCATAAGGAGTCCTTTACTGAAGATCTTGTTCTGTTGTGCAGCTTTGGCTGTCCATGTCTCTTTGCTTCACTCACTTTGTCATACTTAGATTGCACATCTTTAATGATACATAATAGATGTGTACTGAGTTAGTTCACGTTGACACTGATTTTACTGATTTTCTGTGGGTGATTTGCAGACTCACATGGGTATGTGTGATATTGCTGAAATTGTACTTTCAGAGATTTTGACATACTTTCTCCTTCCTTCCCTTTTTTCTGTCATTAATTATTGAACATTGACTATATGCCAGGCATTGAGGCAAATCCACAAAAAAAGATGTAGTATCTGATTTCAAATATCTTGCAGACTAGTGAATGCATATAAAAAGATAACGGCCACATGGTGTGAGGTGTGGGCAACTGCTGAGAACTTCTTCCTAATCTAATGAGTAGGACCCCATTGAGGCTTTTGCTCCTAAATTCCTAAATGTGGTCAAGAGTAATTATCATAACTGTGCGATTGTGAATAGATTAACGGGTGTTTGCACTTGCCTTTCTCCATTTGTGCAGGGTGGAGATGTCTGCCCAGAGGTTAATTTCTAACAGAACCTTCCAGCAGACTGTATCTAATTCTGATTACACCTGGGAGTATGAGTATTATGAGATCGGACCAGTTTCCTTTGAAGGACTGAAGGCTCATAAATGTAAGTCTTACATAGTTCCTCACTGTGATTACTTCAGTGATTGCCTCCCCCAAATTTTCTGTCTTCCTACTGAACTCTGTCGTCTACCTCTAAAACCTCACAAAACATCCTTTTCACACAGACTTAATTGCTCAGAGATGGTGTTATGTGGGGACCTTCGTGATTCTGACTGATGAAAAACTTAAGAGATTTCTTTAGTGAGCTGTGGAGAACAGTCTATGTGTATTCATAGTAACAGACAAGAATAGCTGGCTGCCATTCCTAATTCCATGTTATAGGCATTAATTCTCTTTTATGTTATGGGGGTGACTGATGATTCAGCAGAGAACAAGGAATGAAATTCTGTGAAATACTACTATTCAATTCTTATCCTAACCTGATATGGCCAATGTAAGTGTTAAGTAGATGCTGCCAGTGTTAAGTAGATAAGCAGGAACTGTCTTGGCCATCCCGTAAACATCACTGAGGAGTTTGGTGGTTTTATAATGAATATCTATAGCACTGCACAAATTTTAGGTTATAATTGTCCAGACTGATGGGACACATTGGGAAGTACAAGAGAGATTAGAATATAGAGATGTAAATTTAGCAAAGAAAGTGCCTTCATTGTTTTAGTTATTTCCTGGTTGTTTCTTTTCTACTCTACCCTGTTTTGACATTCATGATCCCTTGTACCCATTTACTGCTCCCCTTAGTTTCAGGTGGGGCTTTCTATTTTTGTTTTTGTTCTTTAAGCAAAAGTCCTTAACTAAATCATGTATCCTTTACCCTTAAAGTAATGACTAAATGCTTAGTGATGCTTTCTTAGTATTTAAGTGGAGAAAAAGTACATAAACCCATTAGGATATACTGTCAGTGATGGAAGGCTTTGTGGTCTGTGTGTGAACCTGTTCTTATTCTAGGAGAGCCTTTAGGTAAGGATGCTTGCTTATTATAAATTATACTGGAAATCAAAATGATAAGGCAAATTTCCGTTTATTTCCCAATAATGTGACTTTTTGCATCAACTTGATGTTTTTTGTTAGTTTGATCCTATTTTTTTCTTTAAATTAGGAGCACAGAAGACAGGTCTGTCATTATAATTTTGGTTGGTACATCTCCAGAAACAACTGGGGAAAATATTTTGTGAACATACTATATTCTAGAAAGGATTATAGCTTTAAAAAAATCCTTCAAAATGTAGACAGTACTGTAATACATTATGTACTTACTTTCACAACTGTACTACTAATGAGAATTGCTTTGGTTTTGACATTCACATCATGAAAGTACAAAAATGCCCAAGGTAGCACTCACTGTTCCAGTGTCACAGAACTGAATTAAATAGATGTTCCTAGTGTCAGAAACCTAACAACATGAGACATAGAAAAGAACAAAAAAGAAAACTCCAGATATACAGGAAAGTGAAAAGATTAAGTCAACTATTGTAATGTGTACATTGGTACAGTCTCTTCCATTTTAAAAATCCATTATTCTGACCTTCAAGTGTGGCATATTGTTTTGCTGAGGAAAATATAAAACTGGTTAGCTGAAGTTTCAAAAGAATAGAAGAAGAACATTTCAAATAGAAGCATTAATTGAGAATAGGAACAACTGTAACAGTTAGCTTCATTTACTCTATCTGGCCATGCGTGGGAACAATAGACACATCTTTAGATACAGTAAGTTCTTCTGCCTGCTGAAATGAAAATTCCTGTACTTCTGGAGTCTTTTATCTGAGAAATGACCTCCTATAGCCATTGTGAATTCTTCTGTTATCCTCAGTTGTAGACATATATCTGACATGCATTTGGAACCAGCAGAGTAGAAATCCATTCATTTATTCCTTTAATGCACTTATTGAGCACCTGTTTTATGCAACACTATTTTAAGCACTGGAGATACAACAGTAAACTAAAAAAAAAAAAAACACCTTTATATGGAGCTTATATTCAAGTGAGAGAGGCAGGTAACAGATTAGCTAAATAAACTATGTCAGATAGTAAATAAGGCTTAGGGAATGAGGATGTAGGGTATAAAGATAAACATATAAATAGTGTAGCCATGGAAAGGCCTTATTGAAAATGAGAAATTTGAGAAGATACCTGAAGAAAGTATGGGATTAATCCTCAAAATATCGGAGGGAAAATGCTATATGGTAAGGGTGAGCTGACATCTAAAAGGAATAACATGGAGGCCAGCGTGGTGCCAGGAGAGTAAATAAAAGGCAGAGTAACATTAGGAGAAGTCAGGAAGGTCTAGGGATCAGAGCAAGGGGGCCTTAAAGTCACGCTAAGAATTTTAGCTTTTAGCATGAGAAGTCATTTAGGAGTTTAGAACAGAAGAGTGGCCTCTGCATTAGGTTTCATTAGGATCACTCTGCAACTGAGGAATGAAAAGTGATAAAACTGGAAGCAAAGATCAGTCAGGAGGCTATTGTCATAGTCCAGACAGCTAGTGATGGTAGTTTGGACTAAGAGAGAGGCAGTAGAGCTGTGAGAAGTGGATACATTTTGGATATGTTTAAAAAATAGCAAGTTGGAATTGGATATAATAGAAAGAGTAAGAGATGCTTTAGAAATTTTTGACCAGTGTAACTGGCAGGATGGAATTGCTTCTGATTAAGATGGGAAAGAATAAGGAAAAAGCAGGCTTTAGAAAGGAACTTTGGGAGCTTAGTCTAAAACCTGTTAAAATTAAGACATTTATCAGCTATACAGAGGGCATAGGGGAGAGGCGTGAGGTGAAGGTAGAAATTTGAACATCATCAGCACATAAATGTTATTTCAGGCTGAGAAACTGTGTGAGTGAGTGTATTACTCACTTTTCAGAGAGAAATCTGAAAAGGTCCTAATTGAGTTAATTCACTTTCTGTTGTTGCAGTGACAAACTATCTGAGATAAACTCGTTTTGGTTCACAGTTTTAGTCCAAGGCCATTTAGCCCTGTGGAAAGGTAGTAGTGCATAATGATGGGAAATACATTTTAGAAGGAAGCTTACTTCATGGAAGGCAAATCAAAAAGAAAGAGGGAGAGGCAGGGTCCCTAAATCCTCTTCAAGGTCAGGCCACCAGTGGCCTCACTTCTTTCTTCTAGGCCTTATTTCCTAAAGGGTATATCATCTTCCAGTAGCAGGCTGGTGATAAAACCTTTAGCACTTGGCCTTTGGGGTCATTTCAGATCTAAACCATAATATTCCCTCTTAATCCCCAAAGGCTCGTGTTGCTATCCTAATGTAATATGAATTTAGCCTATCTCTAGAGTCCCCAAAGCCTCAACAATTCTAGTAGCACTCCAAAATCCAAGCTGAAACTTTCCTTTGAGACTCAAGGCAAACTTTTATCTGTGAGCCCCTATAAAAATCAGTGAACAAGATAAATACTTCCAAGATGCTATGGCACAGAGTAAACATTCCCATTCTAAAATGGGAGGAATAAGGGCACAGATGGAAGGATTGGACCAAAGCGAGACTGAAAGAAGTCAGGGAAAACATTAAATCCTATAATTTCATATCTGGCATCTGGGGTACATAGAAGTACAAGGTGAGCTCCAAAGGGACTAGGTAACCCCCACCTCTAGTCTTTCTGGCTGCAGCCCACCTGCTTCTGTCTTCATTTGGCTGTGTTTATTGGCTGTGGTTTTCCTTCGCAGATAATCGTTGGTTTCTGTAACTGTTGGGTCTTCATTGCAGCTTTGGTTTTATTCTCACAGCTTCATTCAACACACTCTCAGGGGCTGCTTGTAGTGACTCTAACACTGCCATACACTGCCTTGTCTCCAAGGATTTCTGTTGGAATCTTGTTGGAAGCCTCCACTGATCCCATTCTTGCATTCTGCATGCCTGCAGACTAGCATCATGTGGACAGTGCCAAAGTCTGCCACCAATCGAAGTAGTAGCCAGGCCATTCTGCCTGGGTCATTGCAGTAACAGAACATGGAGAATCAGATCCCTGTAAAACAATTCTTTGCATAGCCCTATACAAGAAGAGTGTCCTGAGCCTGTCTTCTCAAATAAAAATCTTTGAGGTTCCAATGGGTGCAGTCTTGCTAATTCCTAAGATGCTCTCAAGACATCTTTCTTCTTGTCCTGGTGTAAAACATGTGGCTTCTTTTTAATGGTGCCAATGTTTTTGGAAATTGTACCATCCTTGGCTGCAACTTTAAATGTTTTCCTTTCTAACAAAATTTCAAGTTTTTCCAAACTTTACGCTCTGTTTTGTTTTTTAATTCCTTATTTTCACTGTAAATCTAGCTGGAAACAGGCAGCAATATCCATACCACAACCTGAATGTTGTGCTGCCTTGAAATTTTCTTCACCAAGTAAGCTGATTCATTACTTTTAAACTCTGCATTCCATAAAATGTCAGAGAATCAACAAAATGTAAAGTTCTTTGCCAGAATCTAATACAAATGGCCTCTAGCCCAATTCCCAATTCTTTATTTTTGTCTGAAACTACATCAGCATGGCCTTTTTCATTTCCTATCTTTATTCCTTTTATTTCTTTCTCTTGTCTAATTGCTGTGGCTAATGTTTACAGAACTATATTGCACAGGAGTAGTGATAGCAGATATCTTTTTCTTGTTCCTAATTTTAGTGTGAAGGATTTCAGTTTTTGACCATTTAGTATGATGTAGGCTGTTGGTTTTTAATAGATGGCTTTTATTAGGTTGAGATAATGACTTTCTATTTGCATTTTCTGAAGGGTTTTTATTATGAATGAGCATTGGATTTTGTCAAATGCTTTTTTCTGCATCCGCATGAGATGATCATATGATTTTTGTCCTTGGCTTTAATAATATAGTGTATTACATTTATTGATTTACATGTTGAACCATCCCTGCATCCCTAGGATGAATCCCACTTTGTCAGGGTGTATGATTTTCTTGATAATGTGCATTCTCCTTGCCAGTGTCCTTATGGAGGATTTTTGCATTCATATTCATTAGGACGATTGGCCTACAGTTCTCTTTCTTGGTTTGGACTTTCTGTGCTTTAGTGATCAAGGTGATGCTTGCTTCCAG